TTTTCTTTTGGTGCAATGAAACATTGTGATAATGAACAGTAAATTTAAGGCAATAATTATAAAAATGTAAATGTCACAATGTCATTGTAATAGATCTATATGTGAGCTTAAATATTTTAATTATAAAAACATATCTTTACACTAAAAGTCAGTTTATTCCAACTTATCTCCCATTCAATAATTACCAATGTTACCTAAAAGCCCATCTATATTAGGAACTTAATCACTAAGTCAAGTGGATCACATAATACACATTAAATACATAGAGATGGATGTTTGAAAGCTTATTTTTTTTCAGTTAATTGTAAAATTTTTCCACTTAAAGTTAATGACTTTTAAAATATTCAAATTTATTGTATAGAAATTATTAAATGAAAAAGTCTACACACACACACATATATATATATATATATAGAATAACCCACTGAAAACTTCATGGTTATTTCCACCAAAAAAATGAACTCTTAAAACATTACTATTGTTGTTTCTAAATGAATATGAACTTGTTCTCTTTGGATTATTTGATATCTAAAAGATCTGCATCTTTTTCGTTATTTTGACTGTTTTTCTGCAAATAAATACAAAATTTTTGCTCGGAATTTCAGAGACATGTTGTCAGTAGTTCATAGAATAAAAGAATAATGTTCATTTTACTCAAATATATACCTATAAAAAGTAAAATAAAAGTAGCTGATCATTTTAGTGGACTTATTTTTTTTCTCCATATTTTTAAAACATATATGTATGTTTAAAAGCTCACCTAGAGGAGGGGAAGGAAGGAAGGAGGGAGGGGGATAAGAAATGAGGATGAGAGACATGAGCAGAGAGAGAGACGGAGTGTAGCAGAAGGAGGGAGAACACCGACTCGGTTATTCGCGGACCGAGTCCAGGACCAGAACCGAACAAGGCACCCTCAAACAGTTAACACCGATCATGGACTTCCAATCCCGGGGAGCGGGCGGCGGAGCGACGGTCAGACTGGAAGCTGCTGACTTTGGCCCCCTCCCGGGTTTGTGGCCCCCTCTCGTCCTCTGAAGCCGGCGGAGGAACTTCACCGGAAGCCCCGGAGAGGCGCAGCCGGGCACAGGCTCAATAGACTCCGTGTATGAGAATCTGAAAGGAAGATCCTGTGCTATAAAAGTCCATGCGTCCCTCGGAGTTTGTTTTTGGGTCAGAACCATGCACACTCAGCGCGATGTCATTTATTTAAACTGCAGCGGAGCGCAGCGGTAAGGATGCGGAGTTTATTCTCGCTGTGTGCGCAGCGCTGTGCGTGGAGCCAAGCGGAGCGAGTCGGCGTGAACAGGGGAGACTTTCTACTTTCCTGAAGGTGAGAAAATCCAGGATTGGGAAGCCTTTTTAAATTTATTAGATAGAAAACTTTGTTCTCTGAATTCTTTTTTTTTTTTTTTTAAATCCTCTTTATAAGGCTTAAAATGTATCTGTTCAATCAAAAAGGATTTAGAATGTTCCTCTGACAGAGCTCCTGTCCAATAAATCCCGAACTTTCTTCTCCAAACTGGAGCAAAGAGCATCAATTATCATGCTTCAAGTCTGATGCTGAAAACCACGCTCAAGAATCGCGGTCATCATAATCAGCCGCAGCTTGATGGCTTATTTGCCCCCCAACACCCCAAGCCGAGAACATTACATAACTATTGAGCTGCCTTGGCCAGAAATCAATGCAATCTGTCAACAGGCTGCTGCCGTTTCATCACTTCTCACTGTCCGACTAACAAACACAAAGAATGCATCCCAATCACGCTGTCATCAGAGCTCCAGCAGGAGGTTTTAATGATGAGTTTTCTTGATTTTTGACAATAATAACAGATTGCTCCCTCTCCTGCTGAACCCAGTGATGAAGAAACTCTCCACACTTTGTTTAAATGCTCTGACCTTGTAGTCACAGCAGTACCTTTCCTCTCTGTGAGAGGCCCACATCGATCTTAGTTGTGTCCCTCTGCAAGGAATTTGTTTCATCTTATCTGTGCTGACAGGCTGCGTTCATCACCTTCCCACAGTCCTCCTCTCCTCCGGCACCAGCAGACTTAATGAATCAGACACGGGGAAGAATACAAAGTCTCGTTCAGAAAAAAATGCAGAGCAGGAATTTGACTTTGGAGCAAGCAGGCTGCTCTTATCTTGAGGTTAAACTCAGTAGAGGAATGCTGCTCTGTGCAGTATTTTTGCTGGTTAGTTGTTTTCGGCGTATATTTTGCTTCATTGTCAACTTGTGAAGCAGAGAAACTCCTTTTCATGCGTTCTCTCAATATCCATTTAAATATTGTGCTACACCTATGCGTCTGAATAAATACATTTGTATTAAATGTATCCTCTCTTGCTCCAATTTACACCAACTTAATGCAGTTTGGTAGAATAAAAGCTTTTTTTGACGAGCAGAAATGAAACCTAATTTTTTTGTAAATTGTGTTTCTGCTGCAGGTTTGCGTGTGAAGCCACAGTGGTGTTTTGTTGAGGAACTGTCATCAGGTCATGACGTGATGATCCCCAGGAATGCATGCGACTTCATCGATCCTCAGCACCACGCTCTGAATTCTGCTTTGTAAGCCGATGGAGAAAACGTGATGGACTTTATGAACCAGTTCAGAAATGGGTGGGTGTGGGTGAAGGAATAACATCCATTAGTGTATTCCCAATTTTTGGGGGGGAACCTCAGGACAACCGATTACTGAGGAATTGCTGAGGACCTTTTGCAGCACCAGGATGGACAAAGTGCATAGATCTTATGATTCCTCTGCTGGAATTTCTGATTCTTATCATTTCATTAAATCCTATAGTTACTTTCTCTGATGTTGCTGTATTGAATCATATGAAATGGAGATACTGTGGCGTTTATGGAGTAAGGACTGGACCTCCTTAGTAAGACCGTGGATTCCTATACTGCTAGGCCTTCATCTCCAGTTTTCACGAGCCTCTAACTGTCCCGAAGAGTGCCGCTGTGACCGGACCTTTGTTTACTGCAACGAGCGGAGCTTGACCTCAGTGCCTCTGGGAATCGGTGAGGGCTACAAGACCATTTACCTACACAACAATCAGATCAATAATGCCGGCTTTCCGCTGGAGCTACACCATGTGGCCTCTGTGGAAACTGTGTATCTATATGGTAACCAGCTTGACGAGTTTCCAGTTAACCTGCCAAAAAATGTAAGAGTTCTCCATCTGCAGGAGAATAACATTCAGACCATCTCTCGGGCAGCTCTGGCTCAGCTTCTTCGACTGGAGGAGCTGCATTTGGATGATAACTCCATTTCTACTGTTGGAGTGGAAGAAGGGGCATTTAGGGAAGCCTTGAGCCTAAAGATGCTCTTCTTGACCAAAAACCACCTGAGCAGTGTGCCTATTGGTCTCCCAGATGACCTGAAAGAGCTAAGGCTGGATGAGAATCGGATTGCGGTCATTGCAGAGGAAGCATTTCAGAATGTCACCCGACTGGAACGCCTGTTGTTAGATGGGAACTTGCTAACAGATGAAGGGATCTCACCTGGGACTTTTCAAGACCTGGTCACCCTGAGAGACCTGTCACTAGCACGAAACTCATTAACTTACCCTCCCCCGCTCCTTCCTGGGGAGATGCTTGTCAAGTTAAACTTTCAGGAAAATCAGATAACCAAGATCCCTGTGAAAGCATTGGCAAGTCTGCACAGGCTAGAGAAGTTAGATCTTTCTAACAACCAGCTGCAGTCACTGGTGACGGGAGTCTTTGATGGGCTTGGGAGTCTCAGGCAGCTCACCGTCCGGAACAACCCGTGGCTCTGTGATTGCGGCATGCATTGGGTGGTGTCATGGCTCAAATCTCTTCCTGCATCGTTGAATGTGCGTGGGTTCATGTGCCATAAACCTGAAAAGTTCCGAGGTATGGTGATCAGAGAGCTGAGCGCTGACCTGGTCCACTGCACAGAGCCTGCTTCTACATTTGGCACTGCTATGAACTCGACTGTTTCCATCTCAACAGACTTTCCTTTGGTTACTCGACATGTTTCCTCCTCAAAACGACCCCTAACCACACTGCCCACCCTCTACACCATCTACACAACCAGGGAGGATGGACTGCGGACTAAGCAGCCTCTACAGGTTACTTTCACAATTTTAAATGGGTCGGATATCCATGTACGCTGGTTGGCTTCTTTTCCAGTCACTGCCTACAAGGTGACCTGGGCCAGGATGGAGCCCAGTCTGACCGGAGACACGGTCAGAGAGAGGATAGTGGGTGGGGATCATCGGGGGATTCGACTGACTAATCTTGAACCCAAGTCCACGTATCGGATCTGCGTTATTCCCTTGGATGCGTTCAATAATTACAGGCCCAAGGATGACACTCTGTGCACTGAGGCTGTGACAACTGCAGCCTTTTTCAGCCCAGATAACAACAACAGGAGACGCTCTGGGCCCGAGCAGGCAACACAGCCAGAGTCTGGCTCGCCACTCCTTCTGGCTGGGCTCATCGGTGGGGCTGTGATTGTGGTGCTGGTGGTCCTGCTCAGTATCTTCTGCTGGCACATGCACAAGAAGAGTCACTCGGAGTGGAAGTACAACCGGGGACGTAGAAAAGACGATTATTGTGAGGCTGGCACCAAGAAAGATAATTCCCTCCTGGAAATGACTGAAACAGGCTTCCAGATAGTGTCGCTCAACAATGAGCAGCTCCTCAAGGGAGATTTCCGCATTCAGCCTATCTACAGCCCTAATGGAGGAGTCAGCTTCAGAGACTGCCCCCCAGTGAACAACACCACAGTGTACTGCAAGAACAACGTTCAGGATCATGAATCATGATGGCTCAAGAAAACCATCAGGAGTTTCCTAAAACTGCTCGGACATTTTTGAACTCTGTAAAGTTAAAATGATTTGAAAATTGTCTTCAAAAATGTAATTTATACAACTGACTTGACCATCTCTTTTACATAGCATTGTCGGATTTAAAGGTTGTTGTTTTTTGGAGTAGTGATGTTGCAGTTCTGTGCACAAATGCATATAAAGAAGCATTTTTTTTTCTTAAGAATTGAGGATGACTTGTTTTACTGTTATCGTGTAAGGTTTTTGCTGATGAATTTTATAAGGAATCTTGATAGACACAAGGATAACAGATTTTCACCACCAGAGGGTGTAGTTTTCCTCCTATGAGCTGTGTTGGTTGCAGCAAAAGTCAGGTGAGAATATTAGATTCTCCAAGAAGTGTTGGACCATATGCAAACCATTTTCTCTCTGCTTTAGAAAGAAATTTAAAGGTCACACTCATTAAACACTCAGAAAGTGGCAAGCTGCAGAGCTTTCACCTGCATCTCCAGTTTAATACATCATCATAGCAAAGTGGGTCTTGTTATCAGCACCTGCTGTGATTGGTGTTGGTGTCAAAGTAAGCTGCAAAGAAGCACAACCTCTGAATGTTAAACTCCTTAAAACAAAAGTATTTTCTTTGAGTTTAATATTGACTTTTTTCAGCAGAAGAATTTATTAATGTGCCTTGAAGTTATCAGCTTAAAATGTGTTTAACATCCATGTTTTTGCACAAGATGTATCCTTGTATATACAATTTAATGGAATATTGTGAATAATACTTTTGCTTCTCTTTATTTATCTCGTGATACATTTAATTAAAACTTATCTCCAAATGGGAATTTATTCCAGACTCTGGCTTAGCATGAGCAACATTTGATGGTATGTAATGAGGGATAGCACAGGGTCCTGAATTACAAAGAGATGAATACACAGAACTAAAACACAGCAGTGAAACCCAGATACATAGACAGTAAAGCTTAGACCACAGTATCTATAGTCTATGAGCACATATATGTAGTAATTTTAAATTTGGATGAGGAGTTCATTAAGACAACAGGTGGGGTCTTTGCTTGTAATATGAAGCATTCTTAACAGGGGAGATGAATGAAAGAAATCTACAACTACTTTTCAATTACTGGGATTGTATTTAGAAAGAACATAATCTCAACCATGGTGAGATTCTGTTTCTAACAAATGAGTCCAAGCATCTCAGTTTAGTAATGCAAGGTGGAACAAGAGACAGGCAAGTGGATCGACTCCATCCATATTCAAACCCTCTCCTATGGTAATGAGATATGGATCATGGCTGAGAGTAAAAGATCCTGAATAAAAGTGACTTAAATGAGATTCTTATAGGCCATTGGGGCTCTGTCGGAAAGGCCTAGAAACCACTGGAGGGATTATGTGTGCATCCAATATTTTGTGAACTCCAAAATTGAGTCCAGAAATGTCGCTGGGTAGAAAACAGCATCCTAGATCTGTTTTTTCTAGCATCCAGAATGAACACTTCAAATGCAGAAGCATCAGTTTCAATCTGTTGAAAACTATTTTATCAGTCAATCCAACTGTTTCTTTGATGCTCTCCACTTATTTAATATTCCTTTCCAAAAATGCCAGGGCTAGAAGAGAAACCCAGACATCCCCTGTTTTCAGTGACATCTGATTAGACATAGAGGCAACTTTATCAGATTGTCAAAGCCCTTGAACATATTCAGTTTGAGCTCCTAACTTTATCTCTAAGCCTTCATGGTCACCCAACAGAAGAATCAAATTTAATCAATTTGTATCCAAAATTGCATACTTTTAACAATGACCACATTTAGAAGTTGGAAATAGCTGACCAGTAAATCCAGAGAAGCAGTTTTCAGTTCAGCTTTCTTCACCACAACAGACCTAATCAACAGCTTTAAACGCTGCAGTCTATTTCCTGCTCAATCCTGTCAACATCCAGATACTAAAATGTCCCAGATTGGGAGAATTTAATCTGTTTCTAGTTGAGAGACAGCTATTACTGTGTTTTCCATATATTTCTATTTTCCCCATGAAAAAATTATCTCAGAACCTTTAGATTTAATCATAAAGATTTTTCTGGTCACTGTGTGAGAAATTGATTCAGAAGAATAGAAAAACAACATCAATAAGTAAATGTTCATAGACTTCTGGTAAGCTTAACACGTCGGTATCTTACCCGATGCTGATCAACTTCTGGAACCGTATTACTTAATCATACACACTTTGCTGTGGATACGTTACAAAATATATTTTAAAAATCTTAAAACAGCTGAAAGCATTGCAGTGTAATGTTTTTACAAAGGAGAGATAAAAAAATGTGCCTACTCTAACTGAAGTCCTCCCTTCAAAGTCACACAAATACAAGAAATCTTTTAAATAGTAGAGTGCATACACAATAGATGTCAGTACTTCACAAAAAACACGAGTGTAGGTGTTATATAAAAATCTGAACAGCCCAGTTCATTGCACCAGGGTACCACACAGTAGTAAAACCTCAGAGAAAAACCTCTGAAAATATTCAGTCTAAACAACATCAGGTCCTGCAGCAAAACTGACTGGAATTTAATTTTTTATATTTGCAACCCTAAATGTTGGCAACTGCTTCTTATTAACAAGTCCATATTGTTATTGTGTTTGTCTTTAAACGGCTTCCAGTTGCAATCGATAAGTCTTCTTTAGGTCAGCAGAGGGAATCCTGAATCCTCCCACCAGCTTAAAAAATATGATTACCTGGTCAATTATTTATACAAACTGTGTTGCATTTGGTTTTAATTATCTAAGTTTGTGATACACAAGAGTCCACTCCAACAGAAAACACCATTGTAATTGAAGGATTGCTGAGGGCTAGTGCCAATCTGCAGTGGCCATTAGGCGAGAAGCGGGGCGTAGACCATCACAGGGCAATACTGAGGCATTTTAAAAGACCAAACAAATTCCCACAACAGAAGGTATTCACAACAAAATGGTTTATTTACCCTTTCTATTGCTGTTACAAACCAATCATGATCAGCAAAATGTATCTTATTTGACAAAAGACAAAAAGCCTTTTAATGACAAAGATTTCATTTCTATAAAATATTGAAAACTAAATAAAATAGGAAAGATAAAGTAGGTGATTGCATTAATATTCACCCCCTTTAAAGTGAATGACGTAACTCAACAGAGGTCCAGCCAACTGGTACTAGGAGTCTCAGAATGAGTGGAATAGAAATCACCCAAGTCCAGTGAGTGTGTATCCAGTGATTGTAGTATAAAGACACCTGGTTTTGGAAGGTCCATTCACTGGCTGATCTGTAAATAACTCCAAGAAATTCAAAGAAAAGGTCTCTGAACAGCATAAGTCAAGGAATGGATAAACAAAAACTTTAAGGCACTGAAGATCCCCTTGGAGGGGTGGAGGGAATATGTTTCATATATAAATCTAGATCAGGAAGGCCTAGCAAATGAGTGACAGTGCAAAAAGGAGACTAAGGAGAGAGGACACCAGGAATCCTCTGTCTATACTGAAGGAGCTACAAGTTTCTGCAATTGAGATGGAAGAGACTCTGCATTCAACAACTGCTGCCCAAGTTCTTCACCAGTCAAAGCTTCATGGCAGAGTGATTATGAGAAAGCCACTGCTGAAGAACTCAACTGGAGACTCCTTGGTCAAGTGGGAGAAAGTTCTTTGGTCTGATGAGACCCAAATTGAGCTTTTTGTCCATTAGGATGCCAAACATCACCACAAACACACCATTCAAACTGTGAACCATGGTGATGGAACCATCGTGTTGTGGAGATGCTTCTCAGCATGAAGCCCTGGAAGACTTAAAAAGGTAGAAGGTAAACTACAGAGCGAGCCTGTAGCTTCCATGCAACCTGACAGAGCTTGACGAGTTAGTAAAGCTGCAGCCTGATGGGCTTCATGCTGTGATGGCAGGCTCAGGTGCATAAACTAAATATTAACTTAAAGGGGATGAATACATATGCAATCACTCATTTTATGCTTAATATTTTTGTCATTATATTGTATAAATCAGTTGATACTTTGACATTAAAAGTTTTTTTTGTTTGTTTTTTTTGTTGTTGTTTTTTTTCCAAAAAAAGCCCAATTTTGTTTATCATGACTGATTTGTAAAAGCAATAGAAAGTGTAAAACATCCAAGGGGGTGAATGCTTTTTATAGGTACTATACATACATACCTATTATACTTACCTTATTAGACAACTGAACATACCAATAAACTGTTAAACAGCTGTGATTATGGGAATCAATGACAATTCTCAATGCATTAGAAAAGAAACTACTGTTGAAAATGAAGATAACACAGATATTCAACTGTCAGTACGTGCAAACCAGCTGTGAAGACTCCCAGATCCAATTCACTGCTTCGGTTATCTTTCTATAAAGGTACATCGGAGCAGAAGTCAGGAAACTAATATGATATCCTACTCTGCACAGAGACAAAAAAAGAAAGAAAAAAAAACACATTTTAGAACAAGTAAGAACATGGGATTAGATCCACCCAATTCAGACTGGAAAAACAAACTGAAAAAGAGAAATCACTTAACACCAATGCTTTTAGAGTTTTCCACAGCCACCTGCCATAATGAGAACCGATGTAGGCTAACATGGCAGACAACTAAGGACAAAGTTACAAGATTAAAAAGCTGATCTGCACAATCTGTGATGAAGCTCTAGATCTGCTGGTTTAAGACACTGACTGCTCTTTATTAATGCACAGCAGCACAAATGAGCTGCCTGCTAATTATCAGAACTCAATGAGGCTGGTTAAGGCAAATATAAGGCAGTGCTGACCACGAAGGACCAGGAAACAGCTATTCCATCAAACTACCAGAGCAGATGTTTGTGTAGTTCTGTGAAGAAGTATTTTTTGGCACAAATGTCTGAGATCATCAGCCTTTTATATCTGACAAACAGAAGGATCTTTCTTAAGGGAAATTACCAACTTGTGTGAAAAGAAACCAATATGATTTAAAACACCACAGGCTTCACTTTCCCTCATTCAGGTTGGCTTGATAATTACATATTTAGTTTTACACATAACATTGTTGAATAATATTGTGAAAATATGACTTTGAAAAATTATCCCCCATTTTTTCTCTTATGACACGCTAAATAACCCAAGTTATTGCTGCCACCCTCAGAGAATGGCTTAATTTTGACATACTGATTGGATGTAATATGTGTTGAAAGGACACAGGAGAACATTGTCACAGGCAGAATCATGAATGAATGTCAACAGTTGCACACATGATGCCTTACAACAGTACCAGCCACTGATGTAGTTGGATTGGGATCACATTCATGGCTTACATGAATCCAGGTGCTCATTTTCTGCTGTTGGCCAGGATGTTGGAGGTAAAAATATCAGTTTCCCAGTAGCAGAGCCAATTAAGGCAACCTGACACATTCTGAGGCTTAAAGTTGCCCAAAACAAACCACACAAAAAAATCATATATGGTGTGCCTATTACAAAACCATGTGACATGTGTGCCTTCGCTCTGAAAGCAGGTGATCTTTCCAGGCACCAGCTTCATCCCAACTCCCATTCTGAAGCTGCACTATGGATTCACCTTTCATACAGCCTGTAATTAGCAGCAGAGCAGAAGCAGTTGCAATGGGAGTGGTGCTAATTGTGCAGTATTTAATTATATCCTATAACATTCAGTGTTGTATTAACACCAGAGATAATTATATAAATACCAAGGCAAATATATATATATATATTTTTTTTACATTAAGGCTGTTTGATCTGTTTTAAAGAAAAAATAACAATCCAGCACGAGTCAAACCAAATGTTACCATTCAGTATGTATATATTAT